TCTCTCAGACTGAACCCTCATCGATGTTGCAAGCGGTTCAGCGCCACAGAATTGGAAAATTTGGAAACATGGATTTTGCAAGGTTTTCCTCCGCCGCACCAGCGAGGTTCGGCGCCTGAGAATGGGGAAAAATGGAAAATTGGATTTTACAGCGTTTCCTCTCTGCCGCACCAACGAGGGTTCGAGAATTGGAACATTCCCATCTGCCGCATCAGCGAGGGTTCGTACCCAGAGACTTGGAAAAATTAGAAAAATTTGATTTTACATTGTTTTCACCATGTCATATCAATGAGAGGTCGGTTCAAGACAACCGCGCTACGCTCCGCCTGTGGACCATTGCACAGGGTGGCGGGATCGATCCACGGGCTTCAACAGCAACGACATTGAGAGCGAGAACCCTCGCATGAGGATGTGGTTGCGGGCTCGCTATAGCAAGATGCCCGTGCTCAACGCAGTGGCCAGCGATGCAGTTGGCGCTGCAGATCAGCACGGTGCACCTTGTGCGGAAGAGCAGCTGATGCCACTGCCCGACCTTGCTGAGTATGCCCACTATGTCAACCCAGGAAGTTCGATGGCAATGGCGATGAAAGCGTTTGCCGATGCCCACGGTGGATCGTATGTGCTGTTTCGTTTCAATTGACGCTCCCATCGTGCATCGCGCGGGCACCCTTGTGCAGTGCGAGTGCTAGCGCGACATGGGTTCTACCTTGCCCGTGCCCGCGACGAGTCGCACGCGCCGTTTCGCTTCCGATTGTTTTCAATGGTGCGGCATGCAAGCTCCCATTGCACAATGTGGGCGCTAGCGCTGACTAGGTTCAATCTCGACAGCGGTGCACACGAAAAGATAGAACGACGAGAAACCCTGCAGGGTCCTTGGGGGGGGTACCCATATACACATATATGTGCATTTGCATACACCCATTCATACAGACATACATATATATATACAGACAGGCAGACAGACAGACAGACATGCATACATACATAAATGCGTGCGTACTTACATACATACATACAAACACACATGAATACGTACGCTTATTTATATACGCATGCATACATGCACATCTACGCGCATATATGTATACCCGACTGCAGACATACATACACACATGCATGCATACATACATACATACATGCATACAATTCGATGCATGCGTACAAACATGCATACATGCATGCATGCACGCTTATATACACACACACCTACATTCATACATACATACACACATACATACATACATACATACATACATACATGCATGCATACATACATACATGTATACATTACATTACATACATACATTACAAACATACATACATACATACATACATACATACATACATGCATGCATGCATGCATGCATACATACATACAGACATGCATGCATGCCAGCATACATACATATTCACATATGTATATATATATATATGCACACATACATACACACATGCATGCATGCATGCTTGCATGCATGCATGCATGCATGCATACATACACACATGAATACATACATACATACATGCATGCATGCATGCATGCATGCATACATACACACATACACACAAACACGCAAACACACATACATGCATACATACATACACACAGTCGTACACACATTCGTACATCCATACATCCATCCATTCATCCATACATGCATGCATGCATACATACATACATACATGCATGCATGCATGCATGCATACATACACACATACATACATACATACATACCTACCTACCTACATACATACACACATACATACATGCATGCATACATACATACATACAACCATATGTTCGCGGGCTCAGGGCCCACGGGCACCCCCCCCAGAAGGGATGGGTCCCAGGGTCCTCGGGGCCCCCCCCAGATGGGATGGGGGGAGGGAGGAGGAGGAGAAGGAGGAGGAGGAGGAGGAGGAGGAGGAGGAGGAGGAGGAGGAGGAGGAGGGAGGAGGAGGAGGAGGAGGAGCAGGAGTAGGTGGACGACGATGACTATGACGACGACGTCGACGACGACGACGACGACGACGACGACGACGACACCGACAACGACGACTACGACGACGACGACGACGACGACAACGACGACGTCGACGGCACCACCAGCGGCGGCGGCGATGACGTCGAGCACCAGAGCTGTCAACATGACGCCAATCCCAGCCACACGCCGCACCCATAGGGGGGGAGGGAGGGGGGGAGGAGGACCATGGCGTCATCCCGCACACACCCACAGCAACACACCACACCAACACCACATCCACAGGGGGGGGGGAGCCACCACGCCACGCCCACGCCCACAGGGGGGGGGGGGGCATCGCGCGGGGGGGGGGGCCGATGGCATTAGCATTGGGGGGGGGGGCCCAAACCCTCGACCATACATACATACATACATACCTACCTACATACATACATAGATACATACATACATACATGCCCACCTACGTACCTACCGACCTACCTACCCACCCACCTCCCTACCTACCTACCCCCCCCCCTCCCCCGTGGCGGCGCATGTGGCGCCGCCCCTGGAGCGCTCCGCGCGCCTCGGAGGGGGGTCCAGCGCCGAGCCAAGGCATCCACGCGGAGCTGCGATAGTCTTGTATACATGCCGGGGCTGCGTCCTCGAGGTCGGGCATGCGTTGACGGGGGGCTGGTAAATCATGAGAACAGGAAGAGCCACCACCACCACCACCACCACCACCACCACCACCACCAGAACTCCATGGAACTCCGTTCCCGAAAACTGCCCCCTCGAGCTGGTGGCACTCCGCTCTGGGCACTCTCTGGGGGCGCGCCCGGAACAGGGTGCCACCAGCTCGGACAGGGGGAGCGGCCAGCCCCCCTAGCTGGTGGTGGTGGCTCTTTCTGGTGATCGAGGCTCGAGCAGGTTGGAACACCATAATCCAGGACAGCCGCGCGGATCTCCGACAGATCTGCACGCATGCCGCGGCTTCGTCCTCGATGGTCGGGCGCTCGCCGGCGGGGGGCCGGCAGCAGCGCGGGGGAGGGGAAGCGCGCGCCGTTCGTGCCACCACGTGGGCCCGCAGGGGCGGTCCAAGGCCCGTGGTCTGGTGGGGCCGCGCGCCTGCGCAGCCCTCGGGCCCCCGCACGGCCCCTGCCCCCCCCCCCCCCCCCGCCCCCCTCCGCTGCCGCCTGCCCGAGCGCGCCTTCGCTGGCGCGAGGGCGAGGTCTGGGGAGGCTAAGGGAGTCCAGGCTTCGGTCGGGCCCGTCCCCCTACAGGGGGATGTTGGGCGAGAAACAGCAAATGCCCCAACAATACTCCAAACACGCCAAACAGTGATCCAAAAATGGTCCCCGAACGATTTTTCGACTATTTCTGAATTTTCCTCCTGTAGCAGGACAGGCCCGACTTTTTAAGCCCAGAGGAGCGACCCCCAGAGGCCCAGGGAGGGCCGCGAAAACCAGGGAGGGTCCGGGGGAGAGCCCGGGGCTGTCAGCCGGAGCGGGCTCTCCGCGGCTCTTAGCAGAGGCCTCGCGCCAACCGCCCGCGCCCGAGCCCGAGACTTCGGCGAGCTGCCCGTGCCGCCGAGCAGGCCCAGGGCCGATGTGTCGGACGCACCCCCGCCCCAGAGAGTGCCCCCCCCGCTGGGGTCCAAGCAGAGCCGAGGGCCGTCCTGCTGCTGACGGGCGAACTCCTGCACCGTGCAGCCTCTTCTCCTCCCGCTCTTGTGGCGCGGCCCCCCCCCCGCTGGCCCAGACCCGCACTTCAATACTGGGAGAGCGTGCCGTGACTCGCTGGTCGCTTCGTCAATCTGCGCCAGCGGCGCGTACAGATGTTAATTTTAGGCCGGGCATGTCCTCCGACAGGCGGATTTGGGAGGAGAAACCAAAAACATAGTTTTAATAGATACTACATAGTCAAACCACAAAGAATCGAACAATCGTCCTCAGACTATTTCTTTACAATTTTCGAATATTCCTCCTGTAGAAGGACATGCCCGACGTCATGTTCAAGTGGGGAGAAGGGGGCGCATGTCCAGGGTGCTGCGGGGGTGCACGGCTCCACCCCCAAAGGATGTGCGGGCGTTGCTTGAGCGGGGGGCGATCCATGGGGGCCACAGGTTTGCCTCTCGTGCCTCTTTCGTGCCCAGGGGGGCCCCTTCAGGGGCCCTTTGGGGCGCAGAAGACGCACCGTTCTTCACCCCCACCACGTGTGCATCGCCGTCCCATGACGCAGCGCCAGCGCCCGAACCTCATGAGGAATAGCCTGGAAGCCTCGTGCGGCAACTTGAGACCCGATTCGAGTCGGATCCACGTCGGGTTCACGCCGGACGACGTCGGAGTTTCGTGGGACTTACCTCGAACTGACGCTGGAGCATCGCCACGCGAACGTCGACCCATAGCTCACGGAGCTGACGTGTGAACTCGACATCACAATCATTGCGCGTCGCGCGAGGCCTCCATTAAGTTTCCTCGTAGCGAACCACACCCTGCTCGGTGCTGCCGGCCGGTCACCCAAGGTACCTCTGGACCCCGGAGCTCCCTCGACGGAGAGTCACTCCCTGCGGAGTTCGCGCCGCAGATGTTTGCGGCGCTGGCCCCCCCTCGCCCGAGGGGGCCGGGCCTCCGCCCTGTGGTGGGACGCAGGAGCTCCGTGGCGTCGGCGACGCTGGCGGGGTGGCCCCCAAGGCCCATGGATCGACGTCTCGCCGCGGGCCGATGTCTTACTGCAAGCCCCGCGCTCAATGTAAAGCCCCACGGCACAGAAGCAACGAAGAGAGGTGCGCAATGTCTCCGCCGCTCCCGAGGACGGGTAGGATTGGCGAGGATCCCCATCATTGGGCAGCCCAGCCCGCAGCACCCGCCGAGCCATCTGCTCGAGCTCCGAGCATGAGGATGCTGGGGGATGCTGGATAGCCCCGAAAGACAAAAAGAAAAAACCGTCGTGCCAAACCTCCTTTTCGGGCCCCGCAGGTTTCGTTTGGCGGATGCTGGGGGCTCGGACGCTTTGAGAGCCTCGTCCCCCGCCGCAGGCCTTCCAGGGCGCAAAGCAGTCGCGCTCCTGGGCCATCACCACGCCGATGTCGTGGATGAGCCTCGCGCTCAGAGGCCGGGGCGGCGCGGGGGCCGGAGGGAGGACTGGAGGAAGGAAACGGAGAAGGGACGAGGGAACTCCTTCTGTCCTCCTTCGAGACATGTGGCGAATTTCCGAAACCCTGTGCCCCAAAAAGGTTTTCATTTCTTTGGGGCACATTTTCTACTTCCGCCGCCTTCCGCCGAGCTTCCGCCGGCGGAGGCGGCCTCGCTTTACTTCCACCGACCTTCCGTCGCCCTTCCGCCGCCTTCCGCGGCGGAAGAGATGACAACTCCTTCGATCCTCGAAGACACGTCAATTTTTGAAACGCCTCATATACTCCCTGTCGCACCCCTAGACGTGTCAGTAGGGCGGGCCGGGCGTTTCGTCTTACACCTCCCCACCAACTATGATCCTGAAACTGTTCGCACTTGAAGCTTGTGACAGCATCAAGGATGGAGCAGAGGTCGTCGTCAAACTGTGGCTCTCGCCCTAGCGCCGCGCACAATCGGCATACACGTTGCAACAGCTGTGGAGCTCGCCTTGACGCCGCGCACGTCGTCTTTCAAACAGATGATGGGGGTGTAGGCTTTCAAAGGTGGCGCTCGCCATAGCGTCGCGCACATTCGTCTGCAAAGGCTTGAGCTAGCTGCAAGAAAAAAGGGCGGGCCGCATGCAAAATACTGCTCGCCTGGGTGCCGCGCACATTAATCGCCATAGCGGGGCGTGCATCCGTCTCAAAATCTACGAAGAATGTCAGAAGGGTGGGAAACAATTTTATGATTGTTGGTCAAACGGAACTCGGGCAAGAGACCTCGGTAATGTCAAATATCCGGCCCCTCGAACATGTGGTGCTGGACGGGTCCAGGGGGGTGACTGTTTCAAGTGAGTGTAGACGCGTGCAACAGTTACACACGTGGGGGGCGGTCCTTCTCCGAAAAGGAGGTATCGCTGGAAACCTTGTTGGACAGTATGACCATTGCTTTTCGTATTCCAGCTGACGCAGCAGACAGATGCATGGCAATTCCTGTTCCAGGTGGGACGCTCGTCAAAATAGCAAGACTACCTGTACTGGCATTTGAAGGGCAACACTTTCTGGTAGTGGAGAAGAAACTTTGCAGGGACGCATGAAGAGGGGGCGTGGGACGGGAGGGTGTAAGCATCGCTGATGCATCGTTGGTTTACTCTGGCTTCCCTCCTCCTCATCCTCCTCCTACTCCTCCTCCTCCTCCTCCTCCTCCTCCTCCTCCTCCTCCTCCTCCTCTTATGCCTTACCCTACATTCCTCTCTCCTGCTGCTCCTCCTCCAACTCAACGGCCTCCGCCTACTCCCGCTCCCTCTCCTCCACTTGCCGCATCCTCTCCAGAGGGGGGGCTGGGAAGGAGCTGCCCACTACCACCACGGAAAGCGTCCACAGGCCCACTCGGGCCCAGGTCACGGCGGGTGTGGCTTGCGGGGGCCGTCAGATCTTGGGCTGGGCCTGGCAGTCGGCAAGCTTCTCCTCTTCTCCGGTCTCGCTCCAACTGGCTCTCTCCTCTTCCTCCTCCTCCTCCTTCTCCTCCTCTGCCTCCTCGTCCTCCTCACCCTCTGCCTCCTCTTCTTCCTCCTCTTCCTCCTTTACCCCCAGCCTGCCCGTTCCGCCCAACACACACACACACACACTTATACTTCGCGGCCGGTTGAACCAACTCAGCGAGGGCGTTCGCGGGTGGCGCAGAGTTGATATCCCTTCAGCGCGTGCCGATGGGGGGGCAACCGAAAGAGGGTTGCGTGTGCAAAGGAAGGGCGTACACGACTGTCAAGCTTGCTCAATCTCGACCGCCACCACCTGCGTCGCCGCCGTATCGAGGCGTTGCGATCCCTGCCGCAACTCTCACATAGTGCCACTTCAAGCGAGCTCCGAGCGTCGCCGGACCCCAAGCGCCTAGAGCTGGACGAGGCGCCGCCCCCTTGTGCAGCTTCTCCCCCGCTGTGACCTCGCGCTTCTTCTCGCAGCACTACTCTGGTCCCCGACGCTAGGCGAGGAGGGGGAGGAGGGCTACGAGACGAGAAAAGCAAGAAACAGAAGGTTGGAGGGGGAGGAGGACCAGCAGGATGACTTTGCCTGCTGGAAGGGGAGGGGGTCCTCGGTGCCTGCCCACGCTCCCAGCAAATGAGATTCCGACAGTCTGTGCCAGAGCTCACGATCGTGAAGGGGCCCTGGGACACACATACAAATACACACAAATAACAGGATGCCCCATATTTTCCTACATGTTCTGGGTTTTTGTCTGCCCCCCCACTTCCCATATTTTCCCATATTTTCTGGGGAATCGACGATTAATTCCCGGAAAGGGCGCGGGCCCAGGGTTCTCTTTTAGTAGGTTAACCCCCCGGCCCCCCTGCGACTTGGGCCGGCGAAATTATTCTGCAATAAATTACGTGCGGGAAGAGGGCCGGCGGAATTATTTTTGAGGATGTCTCTAGCGAAACGCTTGTTTTTCAATATTTGTTGAGGATGTCTCGAGCGAGACGCTGGTTTTGCAGAGTTGGGGATGTCTCGAGCGAAACGCTTGGTTTCAGAATTTGTTGAGGATGTCTCGAGCGACACGCTGGTTTTGCAGAGCCGACCGCGACACGGAAAAGCGCCCCTCGCGCAGGAATTCCAAGGATGTCTCGCGCGTGCCGCGTCCCGCGCGCGGGTATTTGGATTCTTGGGATTTTGACAGGATGTCTCGAGCGAAACGCTTGTTTTTCATAATTTGTTGAGGATGTCTCGAGCGAAACGCTGGTTTTGCAAAATTGGAGGATGTCTCGAGCGGTGGCCTCGGGGGGGGCCAGAATTCAAAGGATGTCTCAGGCGAAATGCTTGTTTTCACGTCCCGCTCGCAGGAATTCCGAGGATGTCTCGCGCGTGCAGCGTCCCGCGCGTAGAAATTCAGATGATTTTGACAGGATGCCTCGAGCGAAACGCTTGTCCCCAGCACGTTCCGTAGCGCGTCCCCTTGGCACGTCCCGCGGTGCGTCCCCATGGCACGTCCCTTGGCACGTCGCTTGGCGCGTCCCTTGAAACGTTCTGCGTCGCGTCCTCCTGGCATGGTCCCCTGTCCATTAGCTCTGGGGCAGCTACTATGTGTTCAGGCAGCTCGAGCTTAAGATCCAGATCAGTTCGGTCAGGACTCGGATGCAAAGGAGGACTCGATCCACGATGGCACATCGCAATTCAGCACGGCGCAGCACAGCACAGCCCTCGGCACGGTACATCAAGATCGATACACTCAGCATTGCAATTTGGCACGTTCCTTGGCACGTTCCGTGGGGCGTCCTTTGGCGAGTCCCCCTGGCACGTCGCGTGGCGCGTCCCCTGGCACATCCCGTGGCACATCCATTGGCACGTTCCGTAGCGCGTCCCCTTGGCACGTTCCGCGGTGCGACCCCATGGCACGTCCCCTGGCACGTCGCCTGGCGCATCCCTTGGGACGTTTCGCGGCGCGTCCTCCTGGCATGTTCCCCTGTCCATTAGCTCTGGGGCAGCTACTATGTGGACTATGTGTTCAGGCAGCTCGAGCTTAAGATCCAGATCAGTTCGGTCAGGACTCGGATGCAACGGAGGACTCGATCTACAACACTAGAGCACAATCGCGGCATGGCACATCGTAGTTCAGCACGGCGCAGCACAGCACTGATTTCGGCACGGTACATCAAGGTCGATACACTCAGCATTGCAACTTGGCACGTTCCTTGGCACGTTCCGTGGGGCGTCCTTTGGCGAGTCCCCCTGGCACGTCGCGTGGCGCGTCCCCTGGCACATCCCGTGGCACATCCATTGGCACGTTCCGTAGCGCGTCCCCTTGGCACGTCCCGCGGTGCGACCCCATGGCACGTCCCCTGGCACGTCGCCTGGCGCATCCCTTGAAACGTTCTGCGTCGCGTCCTCCTGGCATGTTCCCCTGTCCATTAGCTCTGGGGCAGCTACTATGTGTTCAGGCAGCTCGAGCTTAAGATCCAGATCAGTTCGGTCAGGACTCGAATGCAAAGGAGGACTCGATCCACGAGGCTACAGAGCGCAGTCGCGCCATGGCACATCGCAATTCAGCACGGCGCAGCACAGCACATCCCTCGGCAGGGTACATCAAGATCGATACCTTCAGTATTGCACTTGCCCGTCACCCAATCAGGTGTCTTTGAAAACGCTGCCATGTGTTACAGTTCTACATTCCTTTCCGGGTTCGTGGGTCGATCATGTTGTGTCTGTGTTTTTTTCCCGGAAAGGGCTTAGGGCCAGGGGTTCTATTTTAGTGTGTTTACCCCCGGTTCTGACGGCGGTAGGGCCGGCGAAATTATTTTGCGATGAATAACGAAGTCGCGTAGGGCCGGCGAATTAGAATTTTGAGGATGTCCCTAGCGAAACGCTGGTTTTTGAAATCGCGATCGATAAATCAAAGGGTGCGGGACACGTTTTGGTCAGGGGAGCGGATTACGTATGTTCCTACAGATTGGCTTTTCCATTGCTTATAGATTGGCCTTCTCCGGGGGCACGAATATGTGCGTTTTTACGTATATTCCTATAGATAGGTCCTCTCCAGGATTACGTGTGTTCCTATACATTGGCCCTTTCCAGGGGCACGAAACCGTGTGCTTTTACGTATGTGTCTATAGATGGGCCCTCTCATTACCTGTAGATTTGCCCTCTCCAGGGGCACGAATACGTGTGTTTTTACGTACATGGTTGAGGATGTCTCGAGCGAAACGCTTGTGTTTCAGAAGTTCTTGAGGATGTCTCGAGCGAAACGCTTGTTTTGTGTTATAGATTGTCCTCTCCTGGGGACCAGAATTCAGAGGATCTCTCAAGTGAAATGCTTGTTTTCACGTGCCCAGGTCTTGAGGATGTCTCGAGCGAGACGCTTGGTTTCACGCCTCCAGGTTGCCCAGGCAGAGGTCTAGCGCCAGGATTTGTTGAGGATGTCTCGAGCGAGACGCTTGGATTCACGCGTCCTCGTCGCCCCGGCGGATGTCTAGCATGAGGATGTGTTGGGGAAGTCTCGATCGAGACGCTTGTTTGCACATGTCCAGGTTGCCCAGGCGGATGCCTAGCATGAGGATGTGTTGAGAATATCTCGAGAGATACGCTTGTTTTCACGTGTCCAGGTCGTCCAGGTGGATGTCTAACATGAAGATGTGTTTGAGGATGTCTCGAGCGAGACGTTTGCTTTCACGTGTACAGGTCGCCCAGGCGGATGTCCAGAATGAGGTCTTAAAAACGTCTCGAGCGAAACGCTTGTTTTCACGTGCCCAGGTCACCCAGGCGGACGTCTCACATGGAGATGTGTTGAGGATGTCTCGAGCGAACCACTTGTTTTCACGTGTCCAGTTCGCCCAGGCGGATGTATGGCATGAGAATGTGTTGAGGATGTGTTGAGCGAAACGCTTGTGTTCACGTGTCCAGGTCGCTCAGGCGGATGTCTAGCATGAGGATTTGACAGGATGTCTCGAGCGAAACGCGTGTCCCCAGCACGTTCCGTAGCGCGTCCCCTTGGCACGTCCCGCGGTGCGTCCCCATGGCAGGTCCCCTGGCGCGTCGCTTGGCGCGTTCCTTGAGACGTTCCCCAGCGCGTCCTCCTGGCATGTCCCCCTGTCAATTAGCTCTGGGGCAGCTACTATGTGTTCAGGCAGCTCGAGCTTAAGATCCAGATCAGTTCGGTCTGGACTCGGATGCATAGGAGGACTCGATCCACAACGCTGTAGGGCACAATCGCAGCATGGCACATCGCAGTTCAGCACGGCGCAGCACAGCACACCCCTCGGCACGGTACACCAAGATCGTTACACTCAGCATTGCAACCTGGTACGTTCCTTGGCACGTTCCGTTGCGCGTCCCGTGGCACGTCCATTGGCACGTTCCGTAGCGCGTCCCCTTGGCACGTCCCGCGGTGCCTCCCCCTGGCACGTCCCCTGGCACGTCGCCTGGCGCGTCCCTTGGGACGTTTCGCGGCGCGTCCTCCTGGCATGTCCCCCTGTCAATTAGCTCTGGGGCAGCTACTATGTGTTCAGGCAGCTCGAGCTTAAGATCCAGATCAGTTCGGTCTGGACTCGGATGCAAAGGAGGACTCGATCCACAACGCTATAGGGCACAATCGCGGCATGGCACATCGCAGTTCAGCACGGCGCAGCACAGCACTGCCCTCGGCAGCAGGGTACATCAAGATCGATACACTCAGCATTGCATGTGCCCGTCACCCAATCAGGTGTCTTTGAAAACGCTGCCACGCGTTACATTTTTATATTCCTTCCAGGTTCGTGGGTCGATCATGTTCCCTCCTGAGATCGGCCCGCGGCATCCTTCAAACAGACCCCTCGCGGCCTTGCGATTCCGGCATGCGCCAGACCGCAAGGCCCACCTCAAGGAGCCACGAGCAATCGAGGAGACATATGAAGGGGCCCTGGGACACACAAATAAATCCTCACAAATAACATAATGCCCATATTTTCCAATATTTTCTGGGTTGCTGTCTTCCCCCCACTCCCCATATGTTCCCATATTTTCCTGGAGATCGACGATTACTTGTGTCTGTGTGTTCTATCCCCTCCTGAACATGGCTGAATGATCAGTCCATACTTTTCGCTCACCCGTTTCGCGAGGGTGCTGACGAGCTCACGACAACCCAATGCGCAGCTCGATACAACCGAACGCTCCTCGCCCCGCCCCCGCCGAAGAGGGCAAGACGTCACCTTCCTCCCGGGCTGCTGAACCGCACGAGACACGAGCCGAGACGAAGTGGGCCAAAATCCGAGCCACACTCGGGCACGCACTAACCCGCGTCGGCCCAGAATCCGGGCTGGCCAGGGCCCTGCCGCGAGGCCTGGCCGGCCGCTCAGCAGCTTCCAGACCTGCGTCAGCGCAGGGAGGAAGAGAAGATTGGCCCTAAGTCGGGCGTCTCCCTCTACAGGGGGATTTTTCAAAAATAGTCAAAAAAGAGTCTGGGGACTATTTGTTGCACATTTTTTGGTTTGTTTTGGAATATGTTTGGAGTATGTGTGATTTTTCGTCGGACATCTCCCTGCAGGGGGACACGCCCGACTCGAGGCTGGCCCCGCGTGGCTCCCGAACCCGCATCAGCCAGCAGGGATTGGCTCGCCCCCGCTGGTACCGACCCTCCGCGCGAGCCCCCCGGCACCGAGCGGGACGGCGCCTCACCGGCGGTCTCCGGAAGATCTTCTCCGCGGTGGGCAGCTTGTCCGCCATCTCCGAGAGCGACAGCTGGAGCAAGTCGCGCGTCTGCGTCCACTCGCTGGTGCACGGCATGCGCCCCTGGATGCTCATGCCGGAGATGAGGCGCTCCTCGCGGCGATGTGGCTGTCCCCCCTCTCCTCCCTCTTCGCACCCTCACACCCGTGTTCCGTCTCGTCCACTCCTCGATCGGTCCTCCTCCTCCCCTCCTCTCCTCGTCATCCTCGCCCCCCTCGTCTTCTCCTCCCCTGGTCCTCCTCGTCCCCTCTCTCCTCCTCCTCCTCCTCCTCCTCCTTCGCCTCCTCCTCCTCCTCCTCCTCCTCCTCCTCCTCCTCCTCCTCCTCCTCCTCCTCCTCCTCCTCTGCCCAAGCAGCACCCCCCCTGTCGCACCACCGCGCGTGCCCGCAGCCCAGGCCGTGCGCTGCGCACGGAGGCGTCCGTGCAGCCTCCCGTCGAGATCGGACGCAAGTCTGTCACAGTGGTCGACGCTGGGGGGCCTTGCTTTTTCCACCGCCACCACAACAAGTAGGAGGGGGGAGGGAGTCCTCCTCCTCCGCCTCCTCCTCCTCCTCCTCCTCCTCCTCGTCCTCCACCTCCCTCCCCCCTCCAACTTCCTGGTGGTGGTGGTGGAACACGGGCCCGCCAGACGCGCGAAGCGCGGCCAGCGGAGCCAGACTTCTGTGCTCACGGCGCGCTGCTTTCAGGATGGAGGGCAGACGCTCTGCCAGATGCGGTTCTCGCCCTGGCGCTGGGCACATTCGCCCCCGAGCGCACGCAACAGTGTCAAGGGTGGAGATCGCTTCGTGCTCAAAAAACGGTTCTCGTCTCGCCTCAACACATTCAAGCATCGAAGGCGGCCGGTTTCCAACATGCCATGTTCGCCATAGCGCCGCGCACATGCGTCGTGCAAATTCTGCTACAGCTTAATAAAGGTGAAGCCTGGTTCGGATTCACAGTGCGGTTCTTGCCTTAGCCCCGCGCATTCCTTTAAGCAGCTTGCAACACTTACAACGATGGCGGACGATTCGTCTTCAAACCGCTGCTCTTGCATTAGCGCCGCGCGCAGTCGTCTTAAAATGTCGCAAACGCTACAAGTATGGAGGGCGAGTCCTTTCAACATGGGGTTATCGCTGTGGTCTTCCTCGGATCTGATGCTTATGAGCTTGAAGGTATGTAACAGCGGTTCGTTGTCGTGGTGGCTTGTTTGCGTGACTCTTGCTCGAATTGAACGACCAGACGGGCCACATTGTGCAACAGTTGCGCTGGTGGTGGAGGGGTTCCTGTTCAAACGGACCTCTCGCTGGGCACCTTCCTGACCCTTATGTTGGCGGCGCGCAGAGGGGGTAGGGGGAGGGGGGAAGGCTTCTTAGAAGGAGGCTGCTTCTTAGAAGGCGCGGGCCTTCGGTCTACAGACAAGGCCCGCGCCTTCTAAGAAGCAGGGGTGCTTCTGAGAAGCCTTCCCCCCTCCCTCTACCCCCCTCTGCGCGTGGCCGTTTCCTGAACCATGCGATCATACAGATTCGCAATCAGTGCCAATCGCTACCAGGATGCAGGCCAGTTCCTTTTCTAGACGGGCCTCTCGTGTGAATGGCAGGCCCACAGGGGCGCTCGTCTTGCTACGAGAGGCTCGCGCTAGTGAGGAAGCTTGAAAGGGCCCTGTGGAAGAGGGGGCATCAGGACGGGATGGTGTACTGCAGCATCGCTGTGGCAGCCTGGGTTTCCTCGGTCTTCCTCCTCCTCCTGCCCCTCCTCCTTCTCCTCCTTCTCCTCCTCCTCCTCCTCCTCCTCCTCCTCCTCCTCCTCCTCCCTCGCGTCTCGGAGCCCGGGCCGGCCCCAGGGGGAACTCCTCTCCGAGGTCGATCTCCAGGTACTCCTGCGGGCCGGAAGGCTGGCATGGGAATCTCCCGCCCTCCGATAGCACCACTGCCAAAGCGGGAGCGAGGAGCCGGAAAAGGGGTAAAAGGAGAAGGGGGAGACGAGGAGGGGGACGAAGAGGTGAGCAGCGAAGGAGGGGAGCGGGAGAAAACAGGAGAGCGAAGATACGGCCAGCGAAGGCGGGGAGCAGGAGGAGGAAGGGGAGGACCTCTCCCCCAACCAATCGGGGACTTCTGAGCCCATTGCTACGCTGCCGAACTTTCGCGCGACTTCGCCCACTAGCCGACACAGGCGTTTCGAAAAGGCAGGACGGGGCGGTGACTCGCCGTGGGCGTCCTCGATATCACACTCGCACACACACAAACAAAAAAACTCCCTCCCGCGCATCGGAGAAAGCTCAAGACCAAAACCTGCGCCGAGCTTCCCTGGAGGAGAACAGCGGCTGTGGGTGAGGGGGGGGCCTCCTGTGCGCCCGCTGCTGTCTCGGCACTCGGCGAGGTCGGGACCTCAGGCCACGCAAGGAGGGCAACGCAACTCGGCCACTGGACTTCACGCTGCGCAGCGTCGCGATGTTGCTCCGCCGCCGTGGAAGATGACAGCTCTCCAGGCCAGGCCGCGAACCGCCAAGCGCGACTATCTTCGCGTCCCCTGTGCGCGAGCTGGAGCAATGAGGAGAGGGATTTGAAGAGTTTGTCTGCGCTCGTGGGTATCCTTAACCATGACCGAAGAACGTGTGTGTGTGTGTCTATGTGTCTGTGTGTTTGTGTGTTTGTGTGTTTGTGTGTTTGTGTGTTTGTGTGTTTATGTGTTTGTGTGTGTGTTGGTGTGTGTGTGTGTTCGCACTCGCGTCAGACAACGGGCACGAGTGTAAGACAGCTCACGCTGCGCATGACAGCTCTCGGCGCAAGAAGGGCCCGTGAGCCACCTGCGCGGCAGCCAACCGAGCACGGCTCATTGCAGATCTCCGCAACCGCAACCCTGCCTCACAGTCTACACGTCGAGCAGAGGCGCCCGCGTGACGTGCCAAGACTGCGTGGCCCGCGCTGCGGTCAGGGAGCCCGTAGACCGACACGAGGCAGGTGCTGCCCGCTCTGCAGGCACCACGGCGCTCAACTCCGCCGCCGTGCCCCCCCCGGCACTTTGGGGCGTGCCACAGGCCTCGGCACGAATTGGCGAACACGTGCCACACTCAACGGTCAACGCCTCCCCCTCCCCCAAAGGTTCAAAGTTGGCGGGTGAGTCTGATGAGATGCACTCCGACCGCAGTCTCCCCCGCGCGTGCCAACATTGAATTTGGGGGGGAGGGGGAGTGTTCAGAAATTGTTTCCCTCTACCGTAGAGCGCTAAGAGAGCGACGACCAGAGGCGGATACTGCGCGAGATGGCACGGCGGCCGTACGCCGCAGCCTTGCGCGCAGGGGCCGCCAGCGCAGCGCGCCACCTTGGCAACGAGAGGGCGCCTACGCGCGACCCTGACGCGGGGAGCTCACGCGCCAATGCCGGCGAGGACGACCCGGTTTTTCGGCGCCGCTCGAGTGCTGCCTGGCACGATGGGGTAGGTTCTCTTCTGCCCCCCCCCCGCTCTCGTCGCGCTGGCCCGTGAGCAGCGGTCCCCCCCCATCCCGAGGCCACAGCCGTCCACAAAACGCAGCAAGATCGCGCTCCCGAGGCCAAGATGCCTCCACGACGGCCCGCAGTTGGCCTCAAGCCGGCCCAAGGTAGCCTCAACATAGCCCACGAAGCCTTCAAGGCGTCCCGAGGGAGCCCCACAAGCCGTCCTAAGAGGACCACGGGAGGCACAATTCCTTGCTGGCCCTTGGGTGCTTCAATGTGTTTTGGGTTCTCGCCCTTTGGAGCTTCCGACGTGCCAAGGCGACCCAAGAGACCCCCAATACTGCCCCGAGACGGCCCAAGAAGCCCCCAAGAGAGCGCTAAAATGGCCCAAAAAGGCTCGAAGACGGCCCCCCAAAAAGGCCCAGCAAGAAACGCACGAACCGAGAATTCGAGCCTTCCGCCCCTCGAATCCCCCAGCAAGCCCCAGGAGGCCCAAACGAGGCGCCCAAGAGGGCACCGAGAAGCAACCATCCTTGCTTGCCCCTAGGTTTTTCCCAGTCTGGGGGCTCTCGCCTTTTCGAGCTTCTGACGCGCCAACGAGGCCCAAGAGCACAAGAAGCATCCAGGATTGCCTAAGATGGCTCCAAGACAGCCCAGCAGGCGCCGACGACGGCCCAAGAGGGCCCCAAGACGCGTCTAAAAAGGACCCAAAAGGGGAACGCGAACCGACAATTCGAGCCTTCCGCCTCAAGAGGCCCCCAAGAGACCCGAAGGGGCTTAATAGAGGCCCCCAAGGGGCCCCAATACTGCCCAGAAGATGCCCCAAGACTGCCCAAATGAGATCCATGAGGGCCCGTCAAGGAACAAGACGAACGGTGTCGCATGTGACGGCGTCCGTCCTCGTCGTCCTCCTCCTCCTTGTCGTCGTCCTGCTCCTTCTCCTCCTCCCCCTTCTCCTCAATCGAAGCATCATCATCACCACCACCACCACCACCACCATCATCATCATCATCATCATCATCATCATCATCATCATCATCATCATCATCATCATCGTCAACAGCAATATCATCATCATCATCATCATCATCATCATCATCGCCATCATCAGCACCATCATCGTCATCAGCATCATTATCATCATCATTATCACCATCACCATCATCACCATCATCGTCAGCACCATCATCATCATCATCATCATCATCATCATCATCATCATCATCGTCCTCATCCTCATCCTCATCCCCATCCTCCCCCTTCTCCTCATCCTCATCATCCTCCTCATCCTCATCATCATCAGCAGCATCACCACCACCATCACCATCACCATCACCATCCTCACCATTATTATCAGCATCGTCATCATCATCATCATCAGCAGCAGCAGCATCGTCATCATCATCATCAGCATCGTCAACATTATCAGCAGCAGCAGCATCAGCATCACCATCACCATCATCAGTATCATCATCAGCAGACTTATCAGCATCATCAGCATTCACATCATCAGAATCGTCAGCATCACCATCATCATCGTCGCCATCATCATCACCACCATCAGCACCATCACCTTCATCACCACCATCAGTATGACCATCAGCATCATGAGCACCAGCAGCATTATCACCATCGCCGTCGTCGCCATCATCATCGCATAGACCATCACGCATCCTTATCCTGACCATCATTGTCATCATCATCACCGATACCGTAACCATTATCAACATCCTCATCACCACCATCAGCATCATCTCCATAACCACCACCACCATCATCATCATCATCATCATCATCACCATCATGTTCATCATCATCACTACCATCATGATCATCATCAGCATCACCATCATAGTCATCATCAATACCATAAACATTTTCAACATCCTCATGACCACCATCATCATTATCACAACCAGTATCACCATCATAATCATGATCATCATCATCACTATCACCATCATCACCACCACCACCATCATTATCCTCATCATCAGCATCATCATCAGCATAATCATCATCATCGTCATCACCATCATCATCATCATCATCAGCATCAGTATCATCATCATCATCATCGTCAACATCATCATCATCATCATCATCAGCATCATCATTATCATCATCAGCATAATCATCATCACAATCACCCTGATGGGCTCACAGCCGTCGATCACAGCCAAGGTGTCACACGTGACGGCGTCAAACACCTTGCTTCCAGAACCCTCCACAACGGCCCCACGTAACGCGCGCCACGTGTTACGGCTCTCCGAAGACCAGAGATACAAGACATCACACGTTAGGACCTCCGTGCTCCCCCGCGCGCAGACAACCGAGAAAGCCTAGCCGGCACGGTGGCCAGACTTGCCGCGGGCAGCTGGATGACGGTATCGGCATGTAAGCCCATCCAATGAAACCAAGAGGAACCACTGTGCGCTCGCGAACGAGGGGCAGTTCTAGAGAAGCAGCCATTCTACCTCGACGGAGGCGCAGCCCTCTTTTCTGGCCCTTGCCCAAGATCTGGCGACACACTGAACAGTGAAGGCCTTCAACGGATGCGCGCGGGTGCGGCATGCCGGGGGAAGGGAACAAGAGAGGACCAGGCAAGGAACCTCGGGCCAGAATGATGGGCCCATTTTCCACCATCACTACCATAGGTCGGAGAGGGAGGAGGAGGAAGGAGGAGGAAGGAGGAGGAGGAGGAGGAGGAGGAGGAGGAGGAGGGGGAGGACCTCCTCATCCTCCCTTCTCCCCCGTCCTGCATGTGTGAAGGGGCCCTGGGACACACAAATAACTACACACAAATCAAAAGATCCCCCTTATTTTCCAATATTTTCTGGGTTTTCGCCTTCCCCCCCCCACTTCCCACATTTTCGTATATTTTCGGGGGAATCAACGATTCATTGTGTCTGTGTGTTTTTTCCCCTCCTGAATGTGGTAGTGGTGGTGGGACATGTGCCCACCACAGCATACGCCGCAGACTGAGCACGGAGGAAGGAGGAGGAGGAGGAGGAGGAGGAGGAGGACCTCCTCATCCTCCCTCCTCCCCCGTCCTGCATGTGGTGGTGGTGGTGGTGGTGGTGGTGGTGGGATGTGTGCCCACCACGGCATACGCCGCAGACCGAGCACCGCAGCGACCCCCTCGGGCAGGACCAGAAGCGCACTACCCGAGCGGAGCGCGCCCGCGGGCGGCTCCGCGGCCCGGAGGGGGGGAGACCCCCCCGCGGGCCCTGGGCGCGGGAGCCGCCGGAGGCACGCGGCGGGGGGGCCCGCCTGGGCATCGCGTACTCCAGATTTCGTAATAAAGGGAGGGGGGTCTCATTTCGGGGGGGGTCTCTTCCAGGCTATCTTGGAGGGCCTGGGGTGGTCTCGGGACGATGTTTTGGAGGGTTCTCCCACGAGGGGGGGTCTGAAATGGCTTGTCTTGGAGGGTCCAGACCCCCTCCCTTTTATGACGAAATCTGGAGTACCCGACCCCCATCCCCAGGAGCGTGGCCTGGGCCCCAGTGGCCGACTTAGCCCCCTGGACGGGGGCATTGGCCGTTCCCTTCGGGCTGCGAGAGGTGCATCCCCAGCTGGGGTGCCAGGGTGCTGGGGGTCGGGGATGGGGCTGGGGATCGGCGGAACGAGTCCGACCGCCTCAGATCCGCGGCACTGCTGCGCTCACGGTGGCGCCCTGCCCGGCCACTGCGCGGGCGAGCGGAAGCCGCGCGGCCCAGATGCGCTCGGCGGCCACCTCGGACGCACAGCACAGGAAGCCCGCAGCGAAGGCGACTCGCTCGGAAGCCTTCTCCACCGCGTGGCCGGCAGCCTCCTCAGAAGAAGCAGAACGGAAGAAACCTAAACTCTTGGCGCTTCGCGTGGACTTCTTGGACCTGCGCTGGGCCCCCCCCTCCCCTGCGCGCTCCGCGCGCCAGGGGCGGCCGGAGGCGCCGCTGGGGGGGGGGCTCAGCGCGGATCCAAGAATTCCGCACGGAGCGCCAAAAGCTAATTTTTACGGCGTTTATTTTTTCTTGGACTCCTTCAGCATGGTGCACGACGCCTCCAAGCTGCTGCGCCTGCCGCCAACCAGTGTCGCCTCTCGGCGGCGCATCCCAGGGGGGAAACCAGAAGGGGCGGGCTTTCTCAGGAGGCTCGAAGTCCCCTGGCCTTCTGGGAAGTTTACTGCGCTCTCCCCTATCGGGAGCGGCCAAGAGGGGGGTGCCCAAGAGGGGGGGGGTGCAAATCATGACCGGCGGCATGTGCGCGGCCCAGCGGGGGGGCCAGGAACGTAATGAAATAAGAAGAGGCGCCATGAAATCTGGGGAAATATCATGACCCACGCCATGATATCCACCCCCCTAGTCACCCCGCCCCCCTCTTTTCCGCCCCCGACCCTGAGGCACAATCCTTCCTCGGATGGGGGGCGAGGGCCTCTGAGAGGCCACGCCGCCTTCCGGGGAGCAGGCCTTCCCCTTGGGGGGCGGAAAGATACGGATACGTGTTGTCCCCGGACCTCCCTTGGGGTGCGTTCTGACCAGAATTTCGAGGCGAATCCAGCGGTGACAACGAGGATTCCCCAGGAGGACCAAGAAAGGCCGAAAACGACGGGGGACAACACGTATCCGTATCTTTTTCTCCCCCGATCCCCTCCTCTCGCTTCCCCCCCCTCTGCTCGCCAGCGGGCCTCGTGCGCCGCGCGCACCACGCCGTCGGCACGGCGCCCGGCGCCCGCGGCGCAGCCCGCGGCGCTCGCGGCGGCGGCGCGCGCCGCCCTCCGTGCCGCCCGGGCCGCGGGGGGCGCGGCAGCCTGCGCGGCGCGGGCCGCGGGCGCCAGGGCGCGCGACAGGCTGCTGGCGGCCGCGTCGGCCGTGCGGATTCAGAAGGAGAACAAAAACAAAAACGGCACAAAGACAACCTACGGCGGCCGGGGGAACAAACCACACCACACACATACACACCACTGGAAGAGCACCGTCCTCCTCCTCCGTCCTCTCTCTCCTCCTCCTCCTCCTCCTTCCTCCACCGTCCTCCACCTCCTCCTCCTCCTCCTCCTCCTCTCCTCCTCCCTCCTTCTCCTCTCCTCCTCCTCCCCTCCTCTCTCCGCGCGGACTTGATTTCTTGGATCTGCGCTGGGCCCCCCATCCCTGGCCGGGTCGGCGCCAGAGGCGCCGCCAGGGAGGGGGGGGGGGCAGCGCGGATCCAGGAAATCCGCACGGAGCGCCAAAAGCTCATGTTCGATGGGCCGATTTTTCACCACCACCACTGTATGTAGGAGAGGGAGGAGGAGGAGGAGGAGGAGGAGGAGGAGGAGGAGGAGGAGGAGGAGGAGGAGGAGGAGGAGGAGGAGGAGGAGGAGAGGAGAGAAACGAGGAGGAGAGGAGGAGGCGGAGGAGGAGGAGGAGGAGGAGGACATCCGCCTAAGGGGGTGCAACGTCAAAACACCTACGCTGGTGTCTTGCGCACTTCTGCCAACATCCCATGCGATTGATTGTGCAACAGCCCTGCCTTCTCCTCGCTAGGGCCGGCAGGGGGCATACCACGTTGCTCAAGGACTGAGCTCCGAGGTGACCCC